TGGCACAAATATCAGCCCATACATGAGCTCATCCTTCAGACAGCTTGTTTAAAAAAGCAACAAGTTCTGAACTGTCGGCAGGAAGCATATCGAGTGACCGTAATGATTTCTCTCTGGACAGTGAAGTGTCAGCGCTGCAGATCGATGCGGTAAGATCTGTGAGAGACTCTGAGTCCCGCTGGAACTCTGAGAGAGTAAAGGTGACAACATGGACTGCGGTGAACTCACCTGTCATGTTGCAGTAGACCGGTGCTGGCCCCAGGGGGCCACTCCCATCTGGATCTATGGAATAGAAGCCAGAGGAGCTGCCAATCAGCTTGTAGGCCTCGCAGGATGACTCGTAGATGGCTGGAAGGAGCAGACAGATTTTTCTTCAGGCACAAAAACAACAACAGCTCTCTGTTCACGCCAAGAAATTTCCAGCTTATCATTATCTGTTGAGCTGATACTAAAAGGTGACCTTAAACCACTGCAGAACACTGACTTCTCACACAGCACAGGACATCCTGTTAAAACCCCATACCATCAATAGCAACCACAATTTTCTAATTTCCTCAAAAATGGCAGCCTGCGAAACCAAGTCATTGTCAATTGATGTGTGGCAGCTCCTTTTTTTGTGTGCAGAAAGAGAGAGAGCATTAAATGTGAGCAGAGCAAAGTAAAAAAAACAGTGAAGTTGTCAATCTGCACTGTAAGAAAGAAGAAGAAGAAGAAGAAGAGAAGAAGTACTGCTCCCTGTTGTTTTCTGGTTGTTTCCTAACTACTCCAAAGATCAGTTCAAACTTTCTAAGTCAAAATCAAAGTGGAGGCACCAAAAGCAGTAGAGTAGAGTCATGTTGAACTGTATTATGTAGTGGAAATGCAGCAAAAAAACTAAAAAAGCCAATCTGCTCCATCAGGACTGTGTGAATGTTGTTTGAGTCAACATGAGCAACCAACAACCCACCAACTGTCAGATTCTGACTGAAATGCTGCTAAATACTGTTTGGTGCACATAAGTACACAGCATCGCCTTCATGATTTCCAACTGAGCATAGGATTTGTCATATGAATACCCAAAACAGTCTGGCAGGAAATATTGAGTTCTCATCATACTCATCCTCACACTGATCATTTGTCACATTTCTAACATGTAAAGCTACCGCTGATGTTATTTAATAATTAATAACAAAATTAAGGCTTTTATTGGGGTGGCTGTGGCTCAGAGGCAGACCGGGTCGTCCACTAATCGGAAGGTTGTTGGTTCGATCCCCGGCTCTTCCCGCCACATGTCGAAGTATTCTTGAGCAAGATACTAAACCCCAAATTGCTGTGAATGTGTGTGAATGAGTTAGTTTCTGTTCGATGGACTTTGCCATCACTGGGTGAATGTGTGTGAATGTGGCACATAATGTAAAAGCACTTTGAGTGGTCGGAAGACTAGAAAGGCGCTATACAAGTACAGGTCTATTTACCGTTACCATTTATTGTGAAACAAGAAGTATTGACAGTGACCTTTGGGGTTAGATTGCAGCTTTTCTCCAAATGAGCAACCAGGCAAGGGGCAGGTCTTACCATCAGGAGCAATGTCAATCAATGTCTTTTGGACAGAAGGAGCTGGGACCAAATATATTTTATTACATGTTCAACAAAACGTGATACAGGAGAAGGACGGAAATGTGGATTATCATTGCACTTTTTCTTTCTTTTCTTCTGACCCAATATGTAGTAAAGAATAAGGAAATATTTCATGTTTTTATTTTTTATTATATGGGCTGTGTATGTGCCAAAAGTTACTGACAGACAAAGAAATGTACAGTTTGATACAGAAAAAATCCATTTTGTCCAGGTGTAAGAATACATAAGTTAGGAGGAGTTGAAAGAGAACAAAACTTCACTGTTTTCATTGGTGAGTGCTAATACATGTAAGATGAAGAAAACAGTGGGCCTCATGCACTAATGTTTTCTTATTTTTTATTTGTTCTTGCATAAAGCAATTAGAGGAAAATGAGAAACAGGATCTGTCTGGTCCCACAATGTTGATTCAATTCAATTCAATTC